ACACACACATATATATACACACACACATATACACATATAGTGATTGACTCATTCTTGACTGCACGGGTTGGATATTACATAAGTCGACGGAAGATTTTAAAAAAAAAAGTTTTATTCATTGTTGTACTGTATTTCAGCCACCTGGTCCTTACTCAGAACTTCTGATTTTCTCAGACATTTATCTGCTTTAATGCTCAGCTCAGATCAAATATAAAAGAACACACCCACCAATTTAAATTTGTTTAAATTTACAATAATGCATTGCACAGCAGGGGCTAATGCATCTGTCACAGTAGATGTCTCTCTGAAAGTGCGGTAACTAAGGTTAAGGATATAATTCCTCCACTGTTATCTTCCTCAATTCGTTGTGCCACCACAGAGCAGAGCAGCCAGCTGATCTCTACTCTCACAGTTGATCATCTTATTAATAGTATTACATCTTTACTACGTAAGATTCTGGATACTGAGGCTCCTCTGAAAAAAGCCTCAAATCAGAAGTACTCATAGGCTGGAGAGGAAATGGGATCTCACTAAATTAGAAGATCTTCATTTAACTTGGATAAATAGTTTGTTGCTTTATGGGAAAAGAAGAAGAAGAAAGCATTCAAAGTTACATTCAAAGCTAGAACCTTATTACTCATCACTGATTGAAGAAATATTATAGAACACATATTATAGAAATACACACTTGATATATACTAGGTATATATTTCTGCTGGATTTTTGAATGTTGTGTGTCCCAAGAGATTACATCAAATCTAAGTGATTGCTGTGCTCTGCACCAAACGGCAATGAGATTTTGAGACATTTGACCCTTACAATTCCCTTCAGTTTAAAGAACATTAACAACAGGTTTGTTTTATACCTCTTACGTACCGAAAAACGTAATCGTGAGCATCGATCTCTGCACCCACTTTTGAGCCGTTCAAAATTCCTGCAGTACCCACCACAGCACAGTGAATACAGCCATCGCCACCTGGTTTTGGGAGGAGCAGTGGCTCTTTTGGCTTTGGAATCAGCTTCACTGAAGCCATCACTTCTGCAAACGAAAAGAAACACATGAGTACAGACATACATTTAACACCATGCATAATTCATAGCACTCTCTTCTGTAATAAGTATAATGGTTTTATATTAGTCGCATATGTATTCCCCCATACTTCGACACAATAACTCAGATAGGGTAAAAATAATGAAAAATCTAATATTTGCATTGCCTTGTAATCTAATATATATATCGCATTACCCAGGATATAAATAAAGATGGCCAATAAAATTTTGTTTAAAACTTTTTTTAAACATGTTTAATATGAGATTTTCATGTTAACTTGTCATCCACTATTACACCCAGAAAATGGAATTCTGTAACTCTTTCGATCAATACTCCATCTATAGATGGTACTACCTCTTCCTCCTTTATACGATTTCCAAATATCATAAACTTTGTTTTTGCCAAATTCAACGATAACGTATTTACATCAAACCATTTTTTTAGTTTTTACATTTCAATAACCAAAATTTTAGCCAATTCTTTCAACTTTTCTCTAGAACAATAAAAAATTGTGTCGTCTGCAAATGTTGTTTATATATAAATTAAAACGTTTTGTTCCCAAAACAGAACCTTGAAGCACCCCACATTCTATTTTCATTCTTTCAGATGAGTTACCTAAATACTGCACACATTGAAAAGTATTATCTAAGGAACTTAACCAGTTCAATATAATTCCTCTCACAGCATAAGTACTTAACCTGGAAATCAAGATGGAGTGTTGCAGAAAATAGGTTTAAATGTTAAACAAATTTCTTCCAGTCAGAGAATGTTGCATATAATTAAATTTTTGCTTGATGCATAAAGTTAAAAGATTAAAACTAATAAAACAAGTTTTAAAAAGAGACTTTTCCATTTGATTACATTTTATATGATGGATTATGCAGAAAAAGTAGAATTGGGCTGAAAGATCTATCGCTTTATCACCTATTCAGGTTGTAAATCGTGTTTTTAAAAAGTAACTAAGTAATTAATTACGGGATTACTTTTTGGGGGAGTGTAATCAGTAATTAGTTACTGATTACTTTTTTCAAGTAACTTGACCAACACTGCCTGTGAGTGTATCTTAATTTAGTGTTGTATGAATAATTTCATGTGTCTTAATACAAGTTCAAACTTCACTTTCTTTAACTCATCATTTAATTAATCCTTGGTGAGCTTTGGCCTGATTCACCAGGAACTTTTTACTACAGAAAACTGTAGATGACACAAAAAACACTGCTTAAAGGTGCCATAATATATATATTTTTAACACCAACAGTATCTGTCTTTATTATAATATCAGGAGTCAGAAACTGGAAGAAGAAATTAAATAACAAAAAAATCTACTACTTAGTTGCTGATCAAGCTCACATATATACTGATATTTAATCTGGCATCAGTTTCACAAACACCTACCATCATATTTGAACTGCATGAACCCAAAAGGATTGTTAAAATGTGAAAGGCGATTCCACTCGCTCATGTTAATGTTGTCCTTGTGCAGAAACAAACGTATGTTGGGAAGAAAAGCCTTCTTGAAGTTCTCATCCTTAGAGTTTCGCAGTGATTGGGCACACGTCTGATAATAACAGAAATATTAAATCATGAAATTGGTTAAAATGATTTTGTGAAAGCTTTATACCCCGAGGAAACAACAAACACAACAGTTACAGAAATTTGATGAATAATTAAGAATTATGTATTTTAATTAAAGGAGTGAAACCATTAAGTGAAAGCAGACTGACTGCATGGCTGAGCAGCCCACAGCCATCAAGTTAATTACTACATTTGTCCTGTTTCTGTCATATTGTGTCTTAACATGCTTACTGTTGGTCTAGGTGGGGCATCCTGGTTATAGACATCATCAAAATCCCACTGAGGAGCCTTTGTGAAATTTCCTCTGTAGAGGAGAGGTATTGGAGTCTCAGCCACAGCTGTTTTTTCTTTCTGTCCCCAGAGGTTAATATTAAACGAAAAGTTTTCCCATCCGAGTTCATGTTTTCCTGAGAAAATTGTCCAACTGCAACAACAGCAACAGGACAAAAGAGAGCAAAAAGTTCAGAATTAGCAAATTAATACATAGATATACATAGATAGATATGAAAAAAAATTACCTTTTTGATAAAGATTCCTGGGATAGAATGAAAACCACAAAACTAACTGTCATTACAAGGAGCAATAAAAACATCCTGGAGATCTGGGATGCCATCGCTGCCAAGTGAAAGCTTGCTGGTCAATTAAACACACGTGTATGCACACAAAGCTGACACACTCTCACTGATGTAAATGGGCTGGGCTACACCACAGTTTGCAGACAGATAAGCAAACAAATGTATTCAGACACACAAAGCCACACACACAGATATTAGCAACAATGTGTTTTATTACACGACCAACTTCAGAAACAAACATAACTCAGAGTTTATATCACTTATATCTGCAATATATTTTAAAAGTAAAATAAACAGCATTCCTTTAATTTCTTTTAGGATTCATTCATATATTAACCTGCTCAGTGTGAGAATTGATCCAGTCTAGTTTGGTTTTCCCTTCATGTGGATGACAGGTGGTCAGAACAACAAAATCAAAGCAGTAAAACACAATAAATCACAAAATTGGGAGAGCACTGTCCAGCCACGTTGAATACTGCAAAAAAGTTCATTTGGTGTACTGGAGACGTTTTTTTAGTAGTTTTTAAGAATAAACGGTCGTAGTGAGCATGACACGACAGGGCTCTCAGATGGAGTAGAGTCGGAGCTGCTCCTCTATGTCTCCCTCTGACACCTCCCCAAAAGTCTCCTTGTTCTCTTTCAGTAGCTGAAAGATTGCAGTCAGTTGCTCATGCTGCACCCTGGGAAGAAAAGACCAAAAGAAATACTGAGAGGTGAGAAATGTAAACAATCCTGGGCATGTTGGATTACTTTCAAAGACTTTATTTACACTATTTAGTTCAATAATATACTCAAATAACCAAAACACACAACACTCAAAATAGGAACGGTTTTACAGGTGGAGGCCACTGACGATTGACTCTATGAGAGCTGGACAGGGCCGTAGAAAGTTATTAACCCATCAGTAGGACCTGTATCTGCTCCGTTGTGGATGCAGGAACAGTATAAGCATTCCCAGAACCCAAAATATCGGCAAGCCACTGGTGTGACTGTCTTTGACCAAACAATCAGAAACATGCTTCATGGGGGTGGCCTGAGCAATGTGGAGCCCAGCTGGCATTTGCCATAGAATACTCGAATTGGCAGGTCCACCACCGCTGCCCTTTGCTTTTCACAAATGAAAGGAGGTTCACACTGTGGGTCTGGAGAAGCTTAAGAAAACAACATGTTGCCTGTAACATCATTCACCATGTGTGACTTGAGGATGGGTCAGTTATGGTCTGGGAAGGCATATCCATGGAGGGAAGCATGGACCTTTGTAGACTAGATAATGTTACCCTGACTACCGTTAGGTATTGGGATGAAGTTCTTGGACACATTGTAGGATCCTACACATATACAGTAGGTCTGGGGTTCCAGCTGGTCCACAACAATGCTAGGCCTCATGTTGCAATAGTATTCAAGATTCAATAAGTTTATTGCCATGTGTACCGCAAAACACAAATAGTTATGCAGAGCAATAAAACTCATACATTCATACATTGCAGGTTCCTTTTACACAACTAAAAGAAAGTCATAAATAAGTAATACAGGGCTTTGTAGCACTTGTAACTTATGTAGCTTATGTGTTGGTGTAATCAGAATTTAAAGTACAAGTAGTTGGAACACAATCACAGTGATAATATATACAAAGTATGCAATATTAAGGTGTATATGTAAAGATATGTACAAAAACTGCAAATTTACAGGTTAATATAAATGTAAAAAATGGCAAATTTACATTTATGGATAATTAAAGTTTGACAGTAGCCTGATGGCCTGTGGACAGAAACTGTTGTTTATTCTGGTTGTCCTTGCTTTCACACTCCTGTAGCGTCTGCCAGATGGCAGGAGTGTGAACACTGTGTGCTCTGGGTGGGTGCGGTCCTTGACGTTGTGTGCCCTTTTCCTGAAATGAGTGTTGTAAATGTCCTGTAGTGGTGGGTGAGGTACTCCACAGATGAGTTGTGCTGTTTTAATAACACACTGGAGAGCCTTTCTGTCCTGAGTGGTGCTGTTCCCATACCACACTATGATGGAGTTTGTCAGGATACTCTCCACTGTGCACCTGTAAAAGCTGCTGAGAAGTTTGGAGCTTAACTCAAATTTTCTCAGCTTCCTTAGGAAGAAGAGTTGTTGTTGAGCCTTCTTGGTGATCTGCCGTGTGTTATGGGTCCAGGTGATATCGTCACTGATGAGGGTGCAGAGGAATTTGAAGGTCTTCACCCTCTCCACCCGAGTCTTTTTGATGTGTAGTGCAGCGTGCTGGTCTCTCCTCAGCCTTCGGTCAAAAATAATCTCCCAAGTCTTCTCAGCATTTAAGGAGAGATTATTTTCCAGGCACCAGGACACCAGCTAGGCCACCTTTTCCCTGTAAGTAGTCTCCTCTTCACCAGTGATCAGCCTGACGATGGTTGTGTCATCAGCAAACTTAATGGAGGAGGTCTTGCTCTT